TTTAACTCTTTGTTAGAATCTTTTGTGCAATAAAAAGCCTGGGTTTAAATGATAGGAGGACCATGAAATACCATGAAAGAGATAACGATATTGATTTCAAAAAATTTGTTTATAAAGCTGTGTTGTAATAGAAAATTCCTACCAGGATATACTTTATTGGAATTAATTCTTGAGATTTACCCACAAATGTACAATAAAATTAAATAAGTAAATTGTAATGGTAGAAACCATTTCAATATCAACAGATATGTTGACACGTGATGAAAATAATGCTGGTTTGTTGACATCTAAGATCAAACAGTAAAAAGAATTGAGATGGTTCTAATAATAAATTATACTGATAAAAAAGTCAACAAATATTAAATATTTGGTTTCAAAATTATCTACAATAACGAATACATTATAAGATACGTTATAAATAATACTCGAAATGTTTTATAAGAATTAAAGAATATGAAAATATAGGCAATCCAATATGCAGAATCAGTCCTACTTTATGATTTGAAGTTTTAGGATCGAAAAACTATAACTAAATATACTATAAAACTCTGCGTTTAATTTTAAAAATGACAAATGATGCGGTGCCGTCCGAAAACTGTTAACTGCTAACAAGTAAATTATCCCTAACACGTCATTGAATTATTAGAACAATTATAAAATTGGTTGAATGCCTATTTCAAAGATGAATGGTTGAACGAATGAAATAATTTTATAATAATAAAATTAAAAAAATGAGTATGATACATATGAGGTGTAAATCTTGTTAACAAAATGAGCTTCTTCTTATTTTTTCTAGTAAACAAAATGCTGTAAGGCGACCTTACACCATTGTACATGTAAATACCACGGCCTACTAATTGAATTCTTCTCCAATGGATTTTTAGAACATACTCCGAAGAAAGTATTCCAGAGACATTAGAAGATCTTGAGACCAGTGATGAATGGAACTTTGAGTTTGAATATTGTTACTTAGAAAAAGACGATGATTTCAAATTAGGAAATCAAATTAGGAACAAAGTTTAAATACATTTAATAATGTTGATTAATCTATATACATACTATAAAGATCCTTTTATTTCGTAATTTTTTGTGTTATCTTGCAGTTTTTGCCTGTTGGAGAAATAATTTTGTTTTAAAATTTGCTATATTTAATTTGAGTGAGAATTAATTTTCCCAATGCAGTTAACAAAATATCTGAGGACTGAAATCTGAAACTGAGGACAACCAAATCTGAGTAGCAAAAAAGGGGTACAAAATTTAGAAACGCCATACATCTTTCCTCGTGGAATTCTAGTGAGAGAAAGTTGATTCCTACACTATGTCTATATGTTCATATGTTTGAAAATCTAAAATTGGTTTCCAATATTTATAGAGTTCTGATTGATTGTAACCACATTGTAATTTGTAAAGCTTTATCCTTGATACCTCATTAATTCCAGATGGACAGACGACACAGGTAATAAAAAAATAAAGCATAATCCCAAAAGATACGAGCCGTATAAAATAATAAATAATAAAAAAGTATAATCCTCATACTACCTCATTTTCGTGCTATCAATCAAACTGTGATACAAATGAGAATTACAACGAAAAATTTATATAACCTGAAATGTACGAAATATATTCATGAACAACCTGTATAAAGGAAAGTATTTAGAAAATAATTTCATTCAGTTATTAATAAGCTATTAATCATCGAACTTTGCCTACATCAACCGGAACATGTATTTACAATTTTGGATGTCGTGTTTAACATTGGTACTGAATATTATATTGCTAGGATGAAACTAATACTTCTCCGAATTACAGGACAGTTACATTGTTATGTATAGTGACGAGTGTACAGAACAAAATCATAACTTGAACTTGTCATACTTGATTAAACTTTCACAAAGCAATAATTATTGTGAAGTCATCGATATATTACAAATTTATTGTAAATTGCAAAATCGAAACATCGATTGAATTATAGTTCGGAAAGACATGACACAAACTAATGGGAGGTAAATGGGAAGTAATTAGTTTTATATTTAATACACAGTGTCAATATTGTACAAATTTTACACAATTCATGATTTTCAGCGTATTAATTTTTTGAAAGAAGAAAAAGGAAATAGGTACCATATTGCTTTTAAACTGTCCGTAATGATATTGAAAACAAGATCGCCCGTAGTATAAAAATCGTAAAATCAGTGTGATTGAAAAGATGAAACTTTGTGGAAGTGAAGTATAATAAAATTGAAATTTTCTTCCCTCAATGAAAAAGATAATTAAAAAGGAAAGCACGAATATTTCAACAAAAATCTCATACATAAACTGGTATTTTATCTGCTTTGTTGTATATTGCTTTTGCGAGTCAATTTTTTAATCGGCGATTTTCGTAATAACTTCATAATTAGAAAAGCTTATAATAAAGATTTCTTTAATTAGTACAACAAAATGTTCATCAATATAAAAGTTACAGCACATGTTTCATCATGTATTTTAAAATTTCATAAACATTTTTGATTTACTTTAGATAATATGATTGTTATAACCTAACGCGTTTTTAGCATTAACTCAATTCAAGTAAAAGAATTTCTGAAAAACTAAACATGGTAATTTAAATTATTACCTCTCAACATTTGTTTATCATTCTTCAACTAGGGGTTGCCAATCTTTTGTAAATTTCAAGATCTTGTCTTGAATCACCATTACTACTTAACTTTTTACAGAATCGACAGCTAATCTATTTCTAGACTTATTGTTAGTAATAGTTAAAGAAGCTCTTAAGAATTGCCTTTCCGATGGTACTGATGTTGTTGAAGTTCTCAGAAAGTCTTTAGCCATTTTTGACAAAACGGGATTCATATATTGATGTCGTTTTCACCATTCCTTAGTTTTTTTAAATAGAGATGTTATATCTAAATCGAACTCTTTGTCTTTAGGATCGTCATTCTCATTATTTAAGGAGTTTGGATTTTGTTGTAGACTATAACATATTATTTCTCAAAATTAAATAGGTTTTAGTACGAAAACATCATTTAGTTTTTGTTTTCATATGACTGAGTTTCAGATTGAGAATTCTTTTCAAATGATTCATATTTTTCAGCAGAAACAGAAAGAGTACTTGGATCGTCTCTAATCTTAAAAAGGCTATTTTCTTATTAATTTGTTTCAAAGGAACCATAAACTTAGGTCTATTAGGGTTGCTTGAATTCTTGTAGCATTTAATTTGATTTGAATTTTCAACTTTGGATTGAATATTTTGGCTTCGTTTTGAAATTAGAATTACTTCTTCAACAAACAACCTATCTTGTGTCTAAATCTAGTAAGCAAAATTCTGAAAACTAATTTTTAAATGAAAGATTTAAAGCTTCCAGAAATTTTATTGTACCATGAATATAATTCGACTAAACGACATCATAAACAAACAAAAATATAACAAAAAACCGCACGGGATTTCTCTAATATATTTTCAAACAGGTGGCAAACGCACACCGAAGCAATAAATAATTCATTCAGTTAATTGAAAAGCGAACCGATATATTATTTAAATGTTCACAACTTTAGTATCGAACATAAAGCGAGAAAACATTGACACCCGTTCTATTGTTGTCGAATTTTGCCAGCACTTATTTTTTACAATACCATTATCGGTGGTGGGACGATAAGTATTTAAATTTCCGGCTATACAAGGTTAAAGAATTTTCAATTTTATGGAAATTTCCTTTTTTTGTTAATGGCCTTGAGGTTTATCTGACCTTTATACAGCACTTTTAGGATAGGATGACTAATAATGTTCGTTGTTAATTTTTACTTAAAACGAAAAAAGTTTATAAACAAAACCAAATAAAAAATTATCTGACAGGAATACTTTCCTTCATTACAAATTACAACCTAATTTATTTTACTTGGGCAGTGAAAGTATAAATAATAAATCAAAAGATGTCGATTTTAATTAATTATTTTGTTTGTTTAAAAAATGTTTAATCCCAAACACTGGTTAAATTCCCATATAAATTTTTCTTTTAATTAAATTCGATCAAAAAATTAGTACCTTGAAATCTGTTAATGTATAAGATTCCGTTTAAATTTTTTCCCCATACAAAATGAGTTAAAAGTAAGGTACCGCGACTCATATAATTTTCAGTCGACTATCGTCATTATAAGTCCAGTTTTTTGGCGCAAATAATACCAGGCATTAAGACCAGAACAAAGTATTTGATCGGCGCTGGACTTTTTACCGCAACAGGTGTCCCCGCAAATCTCGTCGTCTTCTTCATCGGATCGAGCTGAATCTCTACTTCTTATTCGCTCAACCGCCCCGAAAAAAAATGTAATTAGATTCGAGTCGTGAGAAGTCGGCATAAACGGGCACTTTATTCCAAACGATGACGTTTCAAGAAGAACCTAGTAATGCGCCTATTTATTAACTTGATCTAATAGATACCCATCTAATCCATGGGATAAACGATATTGACGCCTCAATAGATTACGGTTCTTATTCTAAGATCGATTCACACTTTATCAACTTAATACGAGAAGCTTTAAATTTATGTTTTGAGATGATAATTTATTACGCAAGAAACTAATCTCTTTGGCAATGTAAATTTTTCTACTTTTTACTTCAAATTCCACGTTTCTTATTATCAGATTTAAATATAACTAAATATATAGTTTGATATAACTAATTGTAATGCTTCGTTTTAATTCCAGTTTCTATGCAAAAGTCGTCGTCGTCGCCAACAAACTTGGCGTGCTCTAAATGCAAGATTTATTTCTTCATGAAAGTGGAAAAAAGAAACAGTTTGCGATGCCGCGGCGCGAGAGAAAATGCGTTGTTCTCTTTTCGATGGTCTTAAAATTAAAACTCAATCCCCGTTAATAGAAACCAAATTGGCTCAAACTCAAAAATACGGTATTTCATCGTATTCCATCTGACACTCTTTCTCTTAAATATGGTGTTAAAAATTTTATGCCAACAACTGCTTAATGACTGATGTTTCTTTCAAACTTACCAAATGAAAATTGTAGCACAAAAACGGTTTAATTATTATTTTAACTAAATTTAATCCAAATCACTTCATTTAAAACGACATAAATTTCCACACACGTCTTTTTAAAGTTTTAAACAAGTTAATACAGTTTAAATTGCTGGTTTTTTTAACACTAACTAAATAACTAAAATATTGTTATTAAACAACTACTAATTATTTTTTTTTTCTTAGCACTTAAAACGATTATCATTCCATTTTTAATTTTTGAAAATATCTCAATCACTGATTTTTATATTCTTTTTTTCAGGTGTAAAGAAAAAGAAAATGTTCACACGGTGATATCGACGTTCGGTGACAAGAAGAACCCTCAAGAGTTCCGACGCGAGATGAGACGACGAACTTGTTTCTCGAAAGCTTTGAAAACTTTGGTCGCGCGCGTATGTTGAAAAGCTTCTTCTCCGCGAACGACGACGATATACAGAAGCTTCTCTCCAACGGACAGGATGGAACCAGCGGACTGGTCTCTTTCGACTGTGCCGGACGAGTGACTGTGAGTCGAACTGTTATGCTTCAAGAATCGCGTACACCTGTTGAAGAGGTGGGGACCCAAGAAGGCAAGGGTGAGTTGGTTCCCCACCCAACAGGTACGTACTACTCGTTACCATTGTTTTGGTTCGCGATGGTACCAAGATGTGGCGCGACCGCCCCGAAAAAAGGGGATGGATTCGTTGATAGTTTTAAAGTTTTAACGGTTCAGTAACGCGGGAGTTGATTTTTAATTTCAGCGATTCGTGACGAATTCCAATACTCATCTTCTTGATGGTTCCAATACGGACGAATGGTTTCGATACGGTTTACCGCGTTTTAACCGAAACACAACCCAAATCTTGAATCGACAGAACCAAACGAATTTTTAAGGTTTAAATTCATTCTTTTTAAAATTGCTTCTGTTTTACTTTAATTTTTAAATTAAGTTTCTGAAAACGATTTAATTCAATAGAAACATCTTCAGTAACACCTCACGAAACCCGTGAATGATTAATTTGTATGGAATACCAAAAATATATACTGCTTAAACACGGTTTATTTAGACAAATTGGTGTTATAACAAGCGAACATGGTGATGGGAATACAACTTATGTGTGTTGTCCATCACGGGTTCAGAATGTAAGCGTGGGTACATGAAAAATCTGCAAGTGGGAGCTCGAGCTCTGTATGTGTCCATTGTGACAACGCTGTATCTAAGCACAAAGATTAAAGTATAATTTCTTGTCGCCTCTAACTTCTAGTACTTAACGATGATTCTTTAAAAATGTGGTAGCTTTACCGATTTCAGAGTATCTATCACATTTTCAGGACCAACAATTTAGAGAATATTTGTAAAGACAATATACCAACCCCTGAAATATATAAAAAGCCTGACATATATAAAACGGAAGTTGTGAAAATCTATAATAATATAATCTTAACGTGTAATTTATATGTAAATTTATTAATATATTTGTGGAGTAAAAGTCTCGACTACCAGTTTCAAGTGAATTAATTTAACTAATTACGAAGAGTCAAAGAGCGTTAAAATAATTATATTTGTCATTAATACTATGTTAAAAGAAACGTTGAAAATAGTACGATTTTGTACTAGATATTATCTTAATTTAATTTAATTTTAGATCTCTTTAATTTCTATAAAACTCTATTACAAAACAACAAGTTTCATCTTCAATTTTAAGGACAGATTCAACAAGAAAATATGGCAAATAAATACCATTAAAGGGAGACAATTCAGGTTGAGGTGGAAAAGTGAAACAAATCATGTTTTAAAATTATGTAGTTGAATATTTCCAATAGTTCATTTAGATTTTGAGAGATAGTCTCATAATTCTTTTTGACTTTCAACAAATTTGTTAATTAGTTACAAGCTTTATTTTTGTTTCTGAGAAACTACAAATTAACAATACATATAACATTGTGTAGACATTTCGTTGGGAACTAAATCTACTTTATCTGATTAGGATATGGTATGGAGGGATCCCTAATTTAATAGGGATCAGATTCCATTTTTACATTTAAAATACATTTTCCTCATTACAAGTACACGTTGGACACGTAGTATGTAAGCAAAACAGGTTTAGTTTCTTATTTTAAAAATGAAATATGCGTATCTAACACTGAAACTGATCTAACACATAAAAACTGAAAATTTGATGAATAATTATAAATTAATTTATTATAGTTATTAGAAATGAGAGAAGAAACAAAGAAGAAAAGCATTACCTCTGAAAAAAGCGCTGAAATTGAAGTGAAAGTAATTACCACCGCGCCTGCTCTTTCAGTTTTAAAACAAGCTCGACTATCTCTATGCGATTTAGATAAAACCAACATTCCTGAAATTCAATTCTTTCTAACGCCTCTAGAAGATATTCAAATTGTTTGTGATTTTGTTGTTATAATAAAAGAAATTAAATAAGTATATTTGAAACGTGCCATGGCTATGATGTTAGATACAGAATTTAAAAAATCTTTGTAAGAATGAAATGTTGACGGAATTTTATGAATTATTAAAAAGCTGTTAGAACTCATTTAAAAATTTAAAAAAATGTGAATGACTGAATCTGGATAACTGTTTTCGGTTATTCCGTTCTGTACAGGGTAGTCCATTTAACGTGAAACAAACGATTATCTCGAAAACGGTTCATTTTACATAAAAATGAACCAAATGAAAGTTGTTCTGTGCGAAGGGGGAAACCATATGACAATAACATTTTTTGACCTTGATATTATTTTCAAGGTTATATGAAGGTCACGACCAATTTTTTAAATGTATAGATCTAGCCGAAAGAATGATAAGATTTACGAAGACATCGTACTTGTCAGGCTAGAATATATTTTAAATAATCTTAACGAAAAATATGCTCAACTTCAAGCTTTGACATATGTAGATCAAAAAGAAAGAAAAATAGAATGAAAGAAACTAATTTTTAAGCTTTAAATTTTTCCTACAGTATAATTTTTTTTCCAAAAAATGTTACTTTTCAAGACCTCACATAAAGATCCGGTTTAAGAAAATAATGGGAGAGAGGGAAAACATTTTAATAAGAAACAGTCGTAAAAGACTAAATTTAAATCCAACAACAAGGCAAGCCGTTTATCATGCGTTACTGGAATTCCCGTACTGTAAGCCGAATTTAACATCAAGCCCGAAAATCATTAGCCATCGGCTGCTGAAGTAGCAGAAATAGTTGATCGAAAACCGAGAAATATAGAGACGGCGCTAATAAAGTCTGTACTATTAGATAATTCGTTCGTTGGTTTCTGATATCAACGTACTAAAATCTACGGTTCATAATAGACTGAAATCAGGAGTATTACGATGGCACTCAAATGCAGTCAAGCCTTTTCTCACAGATGCCAATAAAATTGAAAGACTGAAATATTGTCTGTCAATGCTTAAACCAGAAAGTTTAAATGCAAAAGCTCCCGAATTCATCGATATGTATGATCGAATTCATGCAGACGAGAAATGGTTGTAGACGAGCTATTATTATCTAGTTGAAGGCGAAGAGGAACCACACAGGACCTGAAAAAGTAAGCATTTTCTCACAAAAATAATGTTCTTAGCCGCTGTAGCTCGCCCGCGTTGGAATCATTTTGAAAACAAGAACTTGGATGGAAAACTTGGCATTTGGCCTTTTTTGTTTTGGAACCTGCTAAACGGAGCAGTAAAAATCGGGCAACTGGGACCATTGAAACGAAAGTGGTTTCTAATGTCACTAGAGAAGAGTATAAGAACATGATTATTAGAAAATTGCTGCCCGAAATTCAAGCAAAATGGCCAAGATAAACCACACATTTTTCCAAGAGTTTAATGAAGCTTTAAATAGAACTGGGTTCAAAATCAAAATGTTATGTCAGCCACCGTATACGTGCTATAGTTAATTCTTGCTGTAGAGAAAGCCTTTTCCGAATTGAGTTCGGATACTTTGAATAAGGTTTTTCTTTCGCACCAACAGTGTATGGTAGAAACCATGAAAGTAGAAGGAGCCAATTATTACAAATTGCGACATATGAATAATTATCATTTACAGAAAATGGGTAGGCTTCCAGTTTCTATAAATTTTGATTTTGGGCTTTCTCAACATGTAAAAGACATTATCAATTCAGTTTAAATACTTAAATGACCGTAAAGTTTCATAGAAACGATACTTGTAGTTAAGTTTCAATAAATTAATTTTTGTTTGTAAATCGGACACTTATTTTTGGCCAAAAGTAAATCGATATGGGACACTTATTTCTGGACGGAGGGAGTAGTATATTAAGAAGTATGTCTTATGTTTATTGAAGATGGTATGCACATTTCTTCTGTACGTCTTATATCGTAGAACGTTATAAGTTATAACATATCTAAAGATCTCGATTGTGTTGTGCAAAGTATTCAACAACGTTTACTGCCGTCATTCAAACCCGCATAGTAAGCAGCTCATAGAATAAAATAAATAACCATTTTTTGAAGAAAAATGTTGAATGGCTAAATAAAGATTTCATTGTCAGTATAAGTGGAGTAAATCAATTATTCTGTATTTAATTACTTTATGATCTGCTATTCTACAGGCCTGCTGCAAACAATAAATAGGTTAGGAAAGCAAACATTATTGAAAGTATACAAAATTCATCCATGAAATAACTAAATATGTTAATAGCTGTTGTTCAAGCGGTGTACTGTTCAAGAAGGAAGATGCAGAAAGTCTGTTAAGCAAAGTACGATTGTTATCATAGGTCTCTATCCCAATAAACGCAAGTATAAAATGACAAAGTAGATAAACAGATTTTTATGTTCTGTGTTAAAAAATAGGTATTATTTCTGTATGCAATGTTTATGTTGAATTGGTATAGTATTTTTGGTTTTTTTAATCTCTGTGGTACGATAATGAAATTGATTTTGGTACAACATTGTGATGATCCGTACTTAATTATGTTTCAGATATGTATTTTGTTGTAAAAGTTTTTGTAAGAAATTTAATTGCATCCGTTATTAAACTGTATTTTGATTATGAATTTTCTTTTGAAAAGTTATTCTTCAAAATGTTTGGTGGCATTGATTTTGAAATTATTTATTCCAAGGCCATGAAAAATATAAAACTATGTCAAAAGTCATTGTACAACAAAATAAATCTAAAAATATTGTGACAACAGAAAAATAGTTTTATTCAACACCCAGTATACCTATATCCGACGGCGAGTGTACACCAGCTCATCAAGCATATTTCCCTAGAATATTTACATTCAAACCATGATATTATCGTTAGTAAAATACTTTTAAAGATTTTTGTACAGTTAGATGGATCATATATTTTACAATGAGATGATAGGCATGAATTTGGTAACAAGGGATTAGATTAATTAATAATCTTATGTTTAAAACTACTAATTGCCCATGGAGGATCTCGCTATGCTCAGAAATGGAATAGCGTTGAGGGATCAAATCAAGGTGTGGAGCTTATCTTGCAATTGAGGTTGGCCGATAACAATTCTAC